TGGTCACCATCCGGGAAGGGATGGCGAGCCCGATCGCTGGCTCAAGACTCGCGGCGCTGAGGAAGCCGGTCTTGAGATAGATGATCACGCCGAGCCCGAGGGGCCGGCCGTGATGTGAGGACAACAGCGATGAGGAGCCGGTCCTATAATATGATGACGAGGCGCTGATGAAGCCGATCGTCATATAAAGGCGATGGTCACCATCCGGGAAGGGATGGCGAGCCCGATCGCTAGCTCAAGACTCTCGGCGCTGAGGAAGCCGGTCTTGAGATAGATGATCACGCCGAGGCCGAGGGCCGGTCGTGATGTGAGGACAACGACGATGAGGAGTCGGTCCTATAATGATGACGAGGCGCTGATGAAGCCGATCGTCATATAAAGGCGATGGTCACCATCCGGGAAGGGATGGCGAGCCCGATCGCTAGCTCAAGACTCGCGGCGCTGAGGAAGCCGGTCTTGAGATAGATAATCACGCCGAGGCCGAGGGGGTCGGTCGTGATATGAGGACGACGACGATGAGGAGTCGATCCTATAATATGATGACGAGGCTCTGATGAAGCCGGTCATCATATAAAGGCGATGGTCACCATCCGGGAAGGGATGGCGAGCCCGATCGCTGGCTCAAGACTCGCGGCGCTGAGGAAGCCGGTCTTGAGATAGATGATCACGCCGAGCCCGAGGGGCCGGCCGTGATGTGAGGACAACGGCGGTGAGGAGCCGGTCCTATAATATGATGACGAGGCGCTGATGAAGCCGATCGTCATATAAAGGCGATGGTCACCATCCGGGAAGGGATGGCGAGCCCGATCGCTGGCTCAAGACTCGCGGCGCTGAGGAAGCCGGTCTTGAGATAGATAATCATGTCGAGGCCGAGGGGGTCGGTCGTGATATGAGGACGACGACGATGAGGAGTCGATCCTATAATATGATGACGAGGCGCTGATGAAGCCGATCGTCATATAAAGGCGATGGTCACCATCCGGGAAGGGATGGCGAGCCCGATCGCTGGCTCAAGACTCGCGGCGCTGAGGAAGCCGGTCTTGAGATGATGGACGGCGCTGGGCGCTCATCTGAGAATGAGGGACGACGCTGGGCGCTCGTCTGAGATGATGGACGGCGTTGGGCGCTCGTCTGAGATGATGGACGGCGCTGGGCGCTCGTCTGAGATGATGGACGGCGCTGGGCGCTCGTCTAAGATGATGGACGGCGATGGGCGCTCGTCTGAAAATGAGGGACGGCACTGGGTGCTCGTCTAAGATGAGGGACGGCGCTGGGCGCTCGTCTAAGAATGAAGGACGGCGCAGGGCGCTCGTCTAAGATGAGGGACGGCGCTGGGCGCTCGTCTACAAATGAAGGACGGCGCTGGGCGCTCGTCTAAGGATGAAGGACGGCGCTGGGCGCTCGTCTGAAAATGAGGGACGGCGCTGGGCGCTCGTCTGAAGATGAAGGACGGCGCTGGGCGCCCGTCTGAAAATGAGGGACGGTGCTGGGCGCTCGTCTACAAATGGAGGACGGCGCTGGGCGCTCGTCTAAGATGATGGACGGCGCGGGGCGCTCGTCTAAGATGAGGGAGGGCGCTGGGCGCTCGTCTAAGATGAGGGACGGCGCTGGGCGCTCGTCTAAGAATGAAGGACGACGCTGGGCGCTCGTCTACAAATGAAGGACGGCGCTGGGCGCTCGTCTAAGGATGAAGGACGGCGCTGGGCGCTCGTCTGAAAATGAAGGACGGCGCTGGGCGCTCGTCTAAGATGAAGGACGGCGCTGGGCGCTCGTCTAAGAATGAAGGACGGCGCAGGGCGCTCGTCTAAGATGAGGGACGGCGCTGGGCGCTCGTCTTCAAATGAAGGACGGCGCTGGGCGTTCGTCTAAGGATGAAGGACGGCGCTGGGCGCTCGTCTGAAAATGAAGGACGGCGCTGGACACGCGTCTAAGGATGAAGGACGGCGCTGGGCACTCGTCTAACAAATGAGGGACGGCGTTGGGCGCTCGTCTGAAGATGAAGGACGGCGCTGGGCGCTCGTCTAACAAATGAGGGACGACGCTGGGCGCTCGTCTAATCCGCATGTATGGTCTTGCTTCGTCCATAATGCGTAGTATTTGCCTGATATGTACTTAGTATTGTTGTGGGGATTTTATTTTTTGTTGCTCGAGGCCGGCGAGTGCGCGCGGTCCTCGGTTTCCCTCTTTTATTTTTTCTTTTTCCTTTTTTTTTATTTCCGTTTCCGTTCCCTATTTTGGGGAGTATCCTTCTTTCAGGCTTCGGTCGAAGGGTGTGCTCGTCCTTCGGTCGGTTCGGACTTCGTTTATAACGTCCGTGATCTCAGGGGGGTCCTGTCGCCTATTTATGACGCGGGCTAGACTTTTGGTTGGTTTCCAACGGATGCCGTTGCCCAACCCTGAGTGGGGGGATTTTGCCACCTCGGCCATGATTTCAGGCCTGTCGTCCTGCGATCTAGCGCGTGGACGACGCGGTGAACTTCCCATTTCAAGACGCGGGCCGTTTGCGGGCCCCTCGTCCTGGGGACATCGTCGGCCATACCTGAGCGTTTCACTCTAGGCTTACGGGGCCAGGACGATGTGCTCTCTCAGCTAGGCCTGAGCCCTTCGCTGATACAAAATACAAAGCGGAGCAGACCTGAGCCTTTCGCTCGAAGGCTGCTGATACGACACGTGGTATCTCCCGTTTACATTTCCAAAAAATAAGCGGAATACAATAGGTGCGTTGTTCATGGCCACGGCTTTTGGGCGACGCGATTAGCGTCTCGGAGAACGAGATGTACCGTTTACTGCTCTTGGGCATAATTCCGTGTGCGGCCGGTAGTGGCTCTCATTTTCAGATGCCCGAGTCACCAAATAAAGGTGGCTAGGGTAGGTCGAGGGACCCAAATATAATTCAAATCATCAAATAAAGATGTTCAGTAGACTAGAGCTCGGGTTCACCGCTATGGGGTTTTTAACCCGCTCTAATGGTGATGATAAAAATAATAATGCCAATAATAATGTATCATTAGCGACCTCGGGAAATTTTAATCCCTCATAATGGTCTTCACCACCTCGGGGGTTTTTAACCCGCCATAATGGTGGTGGAAATAATATAATTAATAATAATAATAATTATACTACTATCATTTAATAAATATTTTAAGTGTATAAATAAGAGTATTGGGCACTTAGCTGTGAAATGGGCTGAACTTTGGGCTGATGAAGAAATTGTGGCCCATCACCGATTTACTACTGCTGCCATCTTGGCTGAAAGTTTCCAAGCATCTTCAACAGTTGACTAGGTCAACTTAGGGCACATTTTAATTGGTGAAAAATTTGCTGGCAGGCCTTCAAACAATATGTGGCTTGCCTAATTGCGTTCATCTCCTGCGGCCGACACTAGGTCTGGAGAAAAGGTATGCAGCTCTACAGCCCTGTCCTCATGCCGCCGAAAATGGAGTCGAGACAAAGACAACTCGCCGGAGAGTGGATGAGGGTTCGTCGGAACTCCTCTTTGTGTGACACCACTATGTCCCCGTCGAGATCCGGAGTGGTAGCTTCTAAGGGAGCCTGCTATGGCCATTAATGGCAGAAAACCTCGCACTTGCTCACCCGACTCGAGGGGGTTTTGATCGACGACGCTGGGGTGGAGGTGGAGAACAAGCTTCGAGCGACGACCGACAACTTTTGATGGAAGGAGGAGCTGCGAGCGACACTGATGGAGGCCATTTCTCCGGGTTTGTTGGCGACGATGGCCACCGTCCGGAGAGCAGCAGGTATGTGATGGCAGCTAGCGACCTCCAGCTGATGACGGATTGACGGCTACCTGGATGGTGAAGGTGGTTTTGGCTCAGATATGCGAAATCCCAGTTTCTTTTTGGATTCAGAACAGATTTTTGGCTGATTTTTTTTTATATTTTGGATGAATTTTTTGATGTTTGTGGAGAGGAATCTCACTTGATTTTGCTCAAACTCTCAATGAAAGCACCATTGATGGATTATAGGAATCCAAGTATATATAAAATGAGAGATTGAGCTAGATAATTGGAGAAGATGGATGAATAGTAGAAATGTGATATTGTGTATGAATTGTGAGTTAGGGTTACAAATGGCTCCAAGAGGAGTATAAATAGGGAAATAATGGGTCGGGCCGCTAATATGAGCCCGGTAGCCCAACTACATAAAAAGACTAATCTAGTATACAAATGACATATAAGCAGTACAATAATACAAATGATATCCGTAAAATGTGTGTGGGCCGCTGTCCGGGCCCAATAGTCATGAGACCCGGGGGTCCGAGTCTATATACTCTATCAGTACCCTTAACAATTGGTATGGCGGTGATTTGAGCCGAAGGATGTCTTTAAGTACCCGTTCGTCATTTGACACTCGATACGAGTTTAACGACTCATTCTAATTTCTTTCAGAAATGGAACCAATTGGAAGGATCACTAGGAGGAACCCGTTGGGCCGTGCACCGGGTGGGTCCGAGCGCGGTAGCCGGGGGTCCTCTAGGGGATCAAGAGGAAGGGGCCGTGGAGGCCAACGTCAAACCGTGAGCGATGGCCACGTTGATACCGAGAGTGAGACCTATTGGTCCTATGAGGACTCAACTTACCAGCCGGGGACTGAGCCAGTTGAGACCCCTTACGAAGAGAATGATGACGATGTGAGTGATGAGGAGGAAAGTGGCTCCTTGGCCAGAATTGAAGCGCTGCTCCAACAGTATCATCGGGAGCGCGACGAAAGGAGGGCACGCCGAAGGCACCGTGCAGGGCAACCTTCGGACGAGGCTCCAAGAGGGAGGAGCTTTTGTGATTCGAGAACCCATGTGGAAGCGCGTGGGAGTCGGGGCGATGGAGGTCCAGTCATAAGGATCTCCAAATACATCAAGGAGGCGAGGGACTTAGGGTGCAAACCGTTCGAAGGGACAGGAGACATCTCGGTTGCCGCCCAGTGGATCAAGAGGCTGAACGAGGCAGCCCTTGACATGCAGCTCACCCCCGATTTTAAACTGAGGATCGCGGTAAGGTTACTCGAAGGGTTGGCATCCAAATGGTGGGATGGAACCAAGGGTAAGTATGGCGGAACTGTTACATGGGAGGATTTTCGACAAGAATTCTTTGCCCAGTACTACTCTGACTTCGAAGTAAACGCCAAGGTGAGGGAATACACTCTCCTAACCCAAGGCGGTAACATGACGGTGAAAGAACTTGAGAACAAGTTCAGAGACCTTGCTGATCACATACCGGAGTATGCTTGTGATGAAAACCGAATGGTGAATCATTTTTGGGAGGCCTTGGACTTGGAGATACGTGACAGGGCAACTCAATTGCCCAATATGACTTTCAGCCAAGTGGTTGCCCAAGGGTTGAAGGGAGAAAAACAATGGGAGGAGAGGAAGAAGAGAGATGCCGAAGTGGCCAAGAAAAGGAAGTGGGAAAGCCATGGCCCCCAAGGTCCCAATAAGAAGGGGAACCACGGGGGAGGTGGATCGTTCAGGGCACCGGCAGCACCATCCAAGGGAAACCCGGCCACGAGCGGGCACTACTCGGGCTCACAAGCCCCAATGACGCCAAGATGCAGGAATTGCAACAGGAACCACACCGGTAAGTGTCGTGATCCACCACGGTGCTACCAATGCGGGAGTACAGGGCATATTAAGCCAAACTGCCCTCAACTTGGTGGGAACCGGGGGTCGGGACCAAGCGGCGCTACCACGGCAAGTAGGAACCGGGCCGGAGCACCTCATGCCAGTGTGGGCCAGGGGGAGCGAGCACGAGCAATGCGCCGTCCGTGAATCAAGGAAGAATTCAAGCTAGAGTTTATGCGATGACGGAGGCGGACGCACGTGCTAACCCGGACTCCGTGGCGGGTAAGATCTTAAACTCACGATATTACTCCATTGTATGCAATAGGAGTGTTTGTAAGGTGCAAAATTTGTAACCCCGACGGTTTGGTCGGGATTGTGGGGAAAAGGGGAGGAAAAACCCCCGCCCTGGGCGAATGTCGCCCGGCATTTGACGAAAGCCGCCCGGCTTTCGTCTTGAAATACTAAGAAAATACTGCGGCGACGAATGCCGGCCGGATTCCACCAAAAGCCGCCCGGCTTTCGCCATCATTTAATCAGTAAAATTCTCGCAACCAAAAACCGGCCGGCTTTTGTAAAGACCGGCCGGCTTTCATAAAGGCCTGACCTGGGAATTTTCTCGCAGCTGAAAGCCGCCCGGCTTTGGCGAAAGCCGCCCGGCTTTCGTCGGGCCTAGAAATTCCTGCGCTGCTGAAACCCGGCCGGGTTTCGTAGAAACCGGCCGGCTTCGAAATCATTCCCTGAATAAAAACTACGGCGACGAAAGCCGCCCGGCTTTCGTGATTAAAAACTTAGAATTTTTCTCGCAGTCGAAAACCGGCCGGCTTTCGTGAAAAGCGGCCGGCTTTCACCCGGATTTGATCCTAAAACGGTCCTAAAGGTTAGAAACCGGGAAATTTCGGGAGGGTATCGAACGGACCCCACCCGAAACACAACCAACATACTCTACGACTTAAGAAACGAACCTATTTATTAGATGGTGTGTCTTACATTACTTATGAATGTAGGAACACTAAAGATAAACGGGAGAGAAGCAAGGATCCTTATTGATACCGGGGCGCAACGATCATTTGTGAGTGAGGCGTTCGCCAGCGGATTCAACGGACCACTTGTACCGATGACTCAAACCCTATTGGTGTCCACGCCTCTAGGGGATGATATCGAGAGAGAAAGCCACTATCCATCATGTGAGGTGGAGGTGGAGGGACAGAACTTGACGTGTGATTTCGTACCGCTGAGTATGATCGAGTTTGATGCAATCCTCGGGATGGATTGGCTTGAGAAACATCATGCTAGGGTCGATTGCTACACGAAGGTTCTTGAACTCGAAGGCGGCGAAGGGTTGACCTTACGCTTCGAGGGAGATAGAGGCAAATCAAACTGTTGTATCATATCCGCCGTGAGAGCAAGGAATATGATGAGAAAGGGGTGTCACACTGATGTACTTGTATTTTACACAATTTTTAGGCTTAGTTTGTTGTTAATTTTAGTCATTAAAATTCTACTTTTGTACATATTTTTATAATTTTTCGTTAGTTTGTACTTGTGCAGTCCTACACGGGTATTTTGTATTTTCAGGTACTTTTGATGCTATTTGGATACATTAGAGTGAACAAAAGAAGAAAATAAAAAGTTCAAGTTGGAGGTCAATAAAAGTGGAATTTCCTTCAAAACAAATAAGGAGTAAATTGAATAAAAGAAGCAAAAATAAAAATGGTGGAGCTAGGATTCGATCACTGGAGAAAGGGCAGAAGAATGCCTACTACAACCAGTGTGCTAAGTGATCAATGTTGTACATATTCAGCTGGCAATTGTTATATTCCTTCTGAACGCGGCAAAGAAAAGAACAAAATGTTGAAGCCGAGAATCGATCCCACGATCTCCGAGTTTTCCCCTGAAGTGCTTATTTGTTGAGCTACCTGCCACTGTTGAAAATTTACTGCGCTTTGTTGTACATAAACTCATCTGTTCCGTAAATCCCAACAATTAATGATTAATCACCTTATCATTATATTGCCTTAATCCATCTTCCTCCACACAGAAGTTCGGACCAACCTCTCTCTAAACATCCCAGAAACATTTCCTCCTCCTTCTCTCTTCATTTCTCAATCCCAAATCATCAACCCATCTTCAACCATAACTAATCACTTTCTCATCCAAGATTAAGTCAAGATTAGCATCAAAGCTCCAAGGATTGTCATCTATCACAAGTTTGATCTTCCTTATCTCATTAAATCTTGTACTTTAATCATGGATTCATCTATTTCTATGTTTCCCAACATGTATAGCTAAATAAATTTGGGGCTAGAAATTGGTTAATTAATTGTTCTTATAATGTTTTAATTTGTATTGATTTTAATTGTTAAGTTTGTTCTATTTAGATTGTTGTGTCCAGAAAATTAATTATGTTGTGTTTGTGATATATATTATGAGTACTCAATCATAAACATATTGTTTGTTAAATACACAAATGAACACTTTCTGAACACACCGTTAAACTTCTTTTACCTTGTCCCGGATTGAAGTTTTACGGGAGAATTTAATTATTTAATTATATTATTTACACCACGGGGTTAGGTAAATAATATAGTTAATAATTAAGGTTGTCGTTGCACTTAAACAACTAGTCTCGTTTTGGCCATCACTGGGAAATGTTGACTAGTTACTTATTTTAGGTGACTTGTGTTGGGTCCTAAAATATTTATCTACAACTTCTCACAATCTATCTAAGAATAAAATTAGCAATTATGTCTTACAAATGAGCATTGAACAATTAGTTGCCAATTTCTACCCCTACTTGCTATTGGTTGAACTTTGTGTTGATAAAAGTCTCTTCTCTCAATCACTTTTATTTAATTACTTTTCCAAGTAAACAAAAATAAAAAGAAACGCATTCCCAACTTTAATCCTTAGTTTGTGCTTAATTATTTTATTTCTCGCTTCTCTGTGGTTCGACACCCTACTTCCTTGGGTAAAATAATAGTTGTGTGCCCATTATATGCTACACACCAACTTGGCGCCGTTGCCGGGGAAGCGGTTTTGAAAAAAAAAATTGAGAGCATAAACTTTCGATTTTAGTTATTGTAAATTGTGTGTATATTATTCTGTTGTTATCTTTTTACCTTTGCAGGTTAAAAAAAAAGTGATTAATTAAAGTTCAAAAAAAAAAATCAAAAAAAAAAAATCAAAAAAAAAAAAAATGGACTGTGATTAATAATCTTACCTGAGCATTGGAGTTGGACTTGTTGACTGAACATATCTGGACATTCAGACCATCGAACATATTGTTACATTTTAATTAAAAGGATACTCCGCCTATATGGTCGGACCGCTTACTTGTACATTATAATTCAAAGGATACTCCGCCTCTATGGTCGGACCGCTTACTTGTACATTATAATTCAAAGGATACTCCGCCTATATGGTCGGACCGTTTATTTTTCTTTTTATGGTGGTTCAAACCCCAACTTTTTAATTTCTGCACTTTAATTATCGCAATTTAATTTGTGCACTTATATTATCGCAATTTAATTTCCGCACTTTAATTTCAGCATTTTTTTAAATTTTGCATCCCCAAGCTTGTCGGCCGTGTCCACTTGTTGGTGGAGTGCATTTTTTATTTTTATTTTTTTTTCTTAATAATCCCCAGACTGCCGGCATAGCTGCATCTTGGTGGAGACTGTATTTATTACTGTAGCTATTTTTTTTTTCCTTCCCTCAAATCACCATATCTGTCGGCCCAACCGCATCCTGGTGAATTACTGTATATATTCATACTGCTTTAAGGGCTCACTAGTCTCATTCGGTTTATACCAATTGACTACGTGCGAACCTTAATTAATTAATTAATTCCGCATTTATTTTTTCTTTTCATCTCTCTCTCTCTCTCTTTCCCCAATCCCAATTCCCTTCTGCTTATGCTCACACGTTCAAGTGGTGCGAATTGTGAATTGTTATTCTTCTCTAACATCGAAAAGCACATACGTGAACAGAAAAAAAAAATAAAAAAAATGTCAAACGATATTGTTGTTAATGAGCAGGTACCCAATCAACAAATCGTGGATCAGGTTACGAGGACCAGGAAACCGCTGTATGATTATGTTACGCCTCCCGTGGATGAGCATGACAGTGTTATTCCACCAGAGGTTAACATGAATCACTTTGAAATCAAGCCTGCTATCATTCATATGGTTTCAAATACTCAATTTGGCGGAGCGCCAACGGAGGATCCAAATAATCACATCACAAAGTTCCTTCGAGCTTGCAACACCTTCAAAATCAATGGTGTGCCAACTGATGCTGTCAGACTACGCCTGTTCCCATTCTCTCTACGGGATCGAGCTCAGAGTTGGCTTGACTCTTTTCCGGATAATCACTTCTCCACTTGGGATCAACTTCATGGTGAATTTCTCAAAAGATTTTTCCCGCCATCTAAAACGGCGAAAATCCGAAGAATGATTCAAAATTTCAAGCAAAATCCCAATGAGCCCCTCTACGAGGCTTGGGAAAGATTCAAAGATCTTCAGTGACAGTGTCCACATCATAACATCCAAAACTGGCACTTGATGACGGCTTTTTATGAAGGCCTACATGAAAATTCTCGGATACTCGTGGACGCGTCAGCAAATGGATCATTCATGTGCCTAGAACTTGAAGAGGCAGAAGAATTGATGGAGCGTATTTCATCAAATGGATCAACATGGTATTCTGAGCGATCATCTGCTCCACCAAAAATCGGAGGCATGTATGAAGTTGATCAAATGTCGGCCATAACCACAAAGGTTGATAGCATGATGAATCTTATCCAAAAGATGGCACAAGTCTCTCTTGTGCAAAACTCTACATCAACTCCAGCTCCCATTCCCGTTCTTATGTGTGAATCTTGCGGTGGACAACACAATCAGTCTACTTGTCCATGGGAAGCAATGGAACAAGTTGACTATGTCAACTACAACAGGCAGCCCCAACAAAATCAATTTGGTAATTTCAATCCTCAAGGAAGAAACCATCCCGGTTTTTCCTGGAGCAATCAAAATGGAGCTGCTAATCCACAACCATCTTATCGGAGTGCACCACCCGGTTTCCAAAACCAACAACAGCAATTCAGAGGTGGCCAAGGTATTGTGAACCAGCAACACTATAAACCCACTCAAAATCTTCCATACCCTTCAAATCAACAGCAAAAACCACTTCTCCCCACTCCTGAAACAACCCAAACTCCTGTCCTAGAAAACATTGTTGACCAACTTCTCAAGTCCCAATTATCTCAAGCTGAAACCCTGAAACAAATCACTGAAGAACTTGGTCAACTTCGAGCTCACAACAAGATGCTTGAGAATCAAATTGCTAATCAAGCATCCACATCATCAACTAAGGTGACAGGTAAGCTTCCTGCTTGTCCTGAAAACCCTAGGGAGCAAATCAATGTCGTCACTACTCGGAGTGGGAAACAACATCAATCCTTGCCCCATTCAAGTGATGAACAAGAACATGAAGTATTAGAGGAAAGGGCCGAGCAACAACAGAAAGGTGGAAACAACAACAATGAGCTTGATGTCGGTACCATGCCGAAATCATCTGATGATCGTGAAGGGTCGAAGAAAGAAAAAAGCAGTTCGGTAAGGAAATATATTCCCCCAGTTCCTTATCCGAATAGATTAAAGAAAGCTAATATGGAGGAGCGGAGAACTAAATTTTTGAATGTTATCAAACAGTTGGATATCTCAATTCCTTTGCTTGATGCCATTACAGAAATTCCTTCATATGCTAAATTTCTCAAAGATATTCTCACAAAGAAGAAGGAGAATCCAGCCACTGTTGCAATGAGCCAAGAATGTAGTGCCATAATCCAAAACAAAATTACACCCAAGTTACGTGATCCTGGAAGCTTCTCAATTCCATGTATCATTGGTGGATCTAAAGTTAACAAAGCTCTCTGTGATCTTGGTGCAAGTGTTAGCTTAATTCCCTATTCACTATGTCAAAAGCTACACTTGGGGGATCCCAAACCAACAACAATGGCGTTACAATTGGCTGATCGATCTGTCAAATATCCTATCAGCATTCTTGAAGATGTTCCTGTCAAAATTGACAAGTATTATATCCCGGGAGACTTTGTTGTCTTGGATATGGAGGAAGATGCTCGAGTTCCTGTTATTCTCGGGAGACCCTTTCTAGCTACGGCAGGAGCAATTATCAACGTAAAAAAGGGTACCCTTATCCTTGAGATTGGGGATGATAAGATCGAATTCAATGTACAAGAGCTGAGTAAGGATACACCTTGTATCCTTGATGGTTACTATGCTGATGTTATAGACTCTTGTATCATAAAGACATTTGATAAGTCTTATTGGCTTTCTAAAGATCCCATGGAGTACACTATACGAGAATCTATTGCAGATGAGCAAGCCAATGAAATGGTGAATTTATGTCTCGAAATGTTGCAAAGCATATCTTTACCGATGCCTAAAGCACTTAAATTTGAAGTGCTTAATCTTGAAGATCAATCCTTGAATGTCAAAGGAAAAGCACCTGAAGTAGAACTCAAACCACTTCCACCTACTTTAAAATATGCTTTTCTTGGCCCGAATTCCACTTATCCTGTCATTGTGAATGCTGATTTGGATCTTCAACAAGTGGAAAGAATATTGCAAGTCTTACGAAGCCATCGCAGAGTTATTGGCTACACCATTGATGATATTGTTGGCATAAAGGCATCTTATTGCATGCACCGCATTTACATGGAGGATGATCACAAGCCGAGCATTGAGCACCAAAGACGTCTCAACCCGAACATGAAAGATGTTGTTAAAAAAGAAATTCTTAAACTATTGAGTTCGGGTATCATTTTCCCCATTTCGGACAGTAAATGGGTAAGTCCTATCCATGTGGTGCCAAAGAAAGGAGGAATTACTGTTGTAAAGAATGACAAAAACGAGCTGATTCCTACACGAATAGTCACTGGATGGCGCATGTGC